ACATTGAGACATGATCGAGATGACATGGTTATTAAAAAAAATGAGTTTATATGGTGGATATTAAATTGACAAAGTAGCATTATATTAATGTAAGAATATTTAGAGCCACATACTTTATCAAATTCAATATGAGATAATCTTAGAGACAAACCAAAAAAAGGAAAATGAGACAAATTTTACGGGACAAAAAAGGGAAAACTGTCAATTTGGTCCTCGTACTTTTAAAAAAATCAATCAAATCCTCGAACTTTGTAAAAACATTCAATTGAGTCCATATGCAGGTTACTTGTCATGCCACCAGGTCACCCGCTGACGTGACACACACGTGGCAGTCCAATCAGCAATAACTTTGATGATGTGGCACACATGTGGAAGTCCAGTCAACCACTTATTGATTACATGGTGCACACGTGGACCGCGCGCCACGTCAGCGGGTGACCTGGTGGTATGTCAAATGTACTCAATTGAATGTTTTTACAAAGTTCTGGGATTTGATTGATTTTTTTAAAAGTATGAGAACCTAATTGACTTTTCGTAAAAGTACGATGACCAAATTGACAGTTTTCCCAAAAATACTAGTACTTCGTAGTACTTTGTAATCTAGACAAATACTTCAAATTTGGGGATTTCACTCCTATGTGTTATGGGCAGCCAAGAGTACACACTACACAGCTCTAAATGCTTTGACGTGCCTACCAGCTGATCACACTATTGGGCTATTGTACAAAATGTGCTCTCCGTACTTCTACGGCTAGGCATGTCTACTACCAAGGAGCCATTGGGCCAGCCGGGTCCAGTGCAAGGGTGGACACCTACCTAGCCAGGACTCTAGCTAGCTAGGCCATATCCATCACTAACAAAGCTAAGCTAAGGTCAATACCGAACGTACGTTGCACTAGCTGAGCCTCATTCCCCGCTCAAGTCCCACAGGGCCCTGCCATTTCCACAAGTGTTTGCAATCATCTGCCATCTTATCCTCTCCAGATATTAGCCGGACAAAAGCTATGCATGCCCAAGCAAGTGAGAACAAAGCTCCTAGTCTGCCAAACTAGAAGGATATATATATATAGACACCCAATATATTTACCGGGCCGCTCCTACATTTTACACTAGTAGCCAAAATGCCCTACCGCAGTACGTACCGCGGCAGCGGTGGAGGACCTAGAGGAGAATGGGGGCAGTCACGGCAGTGCCCCGCTTCCGGTCCCGGAAAAGAGTACTAAGGAGTACATATTATTAGTATGTACCGGTTTGATAAGTGCTATCTAGTTGAAAATTATGGAATACGTGGTATTAGTTTTATACGTACGTAGTATGAGACTATGGGCCTCTTTACTATAGACTTAATTGATACTCGCTCGTATGAAGACACGCACTGCTAAAGTCACAATTAGGTTAGTAAGGCAAGTGAAGTAAACACGCACGCTGCTTAAAAAGCCGCTTACTAACCAAAATATGTGCTTAAAGTGCCGCTTACTAAGCATACCATCCCCATGTATTAATTAAGCGGTACTTTAAGCTTTTTCAGTTTCCGAATTTACCCCTTGCCATTACCCTTATTGTTACCCCCTACCCGCCCTACCATCTACCCCGACCCCACCCCGACCCCTACCCCACCCTACACACTAACTCCATCCATCCTCATACCTTACCCCTACTCGACCATTACCCCACCCCCACCCCGCGTACCCCTTTTCCCTACAACGACCCTACCCCACCCCCACCCCCCGACCTCGGCCCCGCCTCGATCCGTACCCTACCCCTACCTCGGCCCCACCCGATCCTGACCCCACCCCTACCCTACCTTACCCCGACCCCAACCCCACCCACCCCACCCCAACCTAGGCCCTTACCATCTTACCCCAATCCCCTACCCCCCACCACATCGACCCTACCAGACCCCACCATATCCTATCTTACCCTACCTTACCCCAACCCTACATACCCGACCCCACCCGACCCCCTTACCCACCCCTACCCTACCCCACCCCCTAGGCCCTTACCACCTACCCCAACCCTAACACATCGGCCCCACCCTGACCCCACCCTACCCCCTAGGCCCCCCTCCTACCCCAACCCCTTACCACATCGGCCCCACCTTACCCTACTACCTAACCCTTACACCACCCTACCCTACCTTACCTTACCCCACCCTACCTACCCGACGACCCCACCCCCACTCGCTAGGCCCTTTACCAACCTACCACAGTGGCCCTAACCCTGACCCCACCCCACCCTTACCCCAGGCCGTTACCACCCTACCCCCACCCTGTCTTACCCTACCTTACCCCGACCCCACCCCTACCCCCCTAGGCCCTTTACCACCCCTACCCCAACACCCCACCACTACCACATTGGCACCACCCCAACCCCACCCTACCCCTTACCCCTTTACTCCCCCCTTACCACCCTACCCCAACCCCCTACCCCCTACCATGTCGGTCCCACCTCCGACCCCACCCTACGTGGGGTAGGATGGCGGTAGGGTGGGCTAGGATCTGGGTGAAGCCAAGGTAGGGGCATCTGGTAGGGGTGGTATGGGGTGGGGTAGGGTGGTAAGGGGTGGGGTTGGTGTTGAGATCAGGTGGGGCCGAGGTAGGGGCATGTGGTGTGTTGAGTGGGGTTGGGTTGGGTTGTGGTTAGGGGTAAGGGTGGGGATTGTGGGTAGGGTGATGTCAGGGTCGGGGTAAGGTAGGGTAGGGGCCTAGGGTCGGGGGTAAGGTAGGGTAGGGTATGGGTAGGAGTAGGGTAGGATAAGGTGGGGGTTAGGGGGTAAGTGGGGTGGTAAGGGCCTAGGGGTAGGGCCTGGGGTCGAGGACGGGGTAGTGGTGGGGTCAAGGTAAGGTAAGGTAGGGTAGGAGTATAGTAGGTTAGGGTGGGGTCGGGGTGAGGCTGATGTGGTAGGGGGTAGGGTGGTAAGGGCCTAGGGAGTTATAGGATGGGGTCGGGGTAAGGTAGGGTGGGGGTAAGGGGTTGGGGATATGGATACACATAATACTTGTGTTCATGAATGTTTGTGTGTCTATATATGTATAGAGTTATTTTGGTCATTTTAATGCTAAACAATGTTTTAAACCTTTTGAAGTAAACACGATCTTACAACGTTGCTTATTTTATGCGCCGATTGTTAACGCGAGTCTTAGTAAGCACCGTTTAGTAACACGTGAAGTAAACATGTCCTTAATTGTTCAGATATACATATATAGTTATGTTTATTTATGACTTTATATAAAAAGTGACTTATTCGCTCATACCATTTTTGACACAGCTCATTTTTTACTCTCCTTTCCGTTTAGACATACGCGTTGATATGAATTCTCCTGTTTAACCTGGGTTCTATGAAATTTCTTGGCATGATTTCTCAAGACATTTAAGTGTCTACATCATCGGATCGACTACGAACACACCTGGGAAATTCGTCAACTGGAGCAATCAACAACTATGAAGCACAGATACTTCACCAGGGTAGCGTATCAACGTATAAGAAACGTTACCATATCCGATACTGTAGAATACCCGTACCGTACGTTCTCGGGCCGTATCTGTAATTTTTAAAAGTTTCCATTTTTTGGTAATTATTATAAAATTTCGGATACTCGTATCCTAACGGATACACGTATCAACTTTTTTTAAAAATAAAATCTTCCCAAAAAAACACCCAATGTTTGCATAATAAAATTCTTAAAAATGAAAAGCTAAATATAATTTTTACCTTGCTTTTATGTGGTAAACAACTAATGAGCCTATTCCTAATTCACTCATGCAGTCATGAAATATGTAATAGAACTTTTAAAATATTGTTTTCTATCTTCATTATTTTGGAATTTTGAGTACTTGCACTTTTAATTCAGAACTGTAGTTGTTTGACTTTTTCTCATTATAAATTAATGACTTATTGACTATATTTATATTTCGAGGTGCACTAGCGTATATGAGATAAATATGAATTTAAATCTAAGTATTTTGGAAATGTAAAATGTGTCAATATCATAAATGGGTAGACGACGGAGGATTATATGTGTATTTTTTCAAAAAAAAAAAATGTATTTTTACTATTTATAAATACACACCCCTATAACTTTCAATATTTATAAACACTCCCATAACTTTTAATATTTATAAATATGACCCTGTATCCGTATCCTACATTTTTGATTTTGTCGTATCCCCGTACTCATTTCCGCGTTTTTTGCATTTCGGCTTATCCGTATATGTGCTATACATCAATGATCATTCGTCGACCAACTCCCTGTCGCTCAGCTCCTCAAGTGAGATGCCTCCCTCCTTACCTGGGAATGATTCTGCATCCTCTTCGGGCGGCGATATTCGTAGATTTCGATATCCTAAATAATTCGAACTTCATTGAGACATAATCAAATTACTTGTATTTCTACTACATTGTCATATTGATAACGAATTTTCATTGAATTGACATATTATCAAACTATTCCTAACGCATTATTATATTGTTATATTGATTGAATGAATACATTTTCACGACATATGTTTATCAACTTGAAACGGGTCTTACTCAGTACTATCCCGAATTGATTTCTTTACACACCTCTCATAAATACGCCACTTACTGCGGGTAGGGCTAATCCAAGATTTATAGTCAAAGCCGGACTCAAAGGGAGGCATCAACTGAGTGTTTGGAATTGCTAGTGCTTTTAAAAAGTCACCTTTTAAAGTGATTTAGAAAAAACTTGCTTAATCGTAAAAGTTGATAATGTTTGGTATAATATGTGTTTTTTGTGTAATAGAAAAAGTAAAAAACAGATTCTAACTTTTAATTTTTAAGTGTTTATTTAAGTAAAAGTTGTCACTTGAAAACACTCTTTATAGCTTTTTATGTCCAAAGTCGAAAAGCGTTTTTTTAAGCGTTTGCAAACACTACACTCCCTAATTTAACCACGACATAAAAGTCCCGTCTTTTGGGAATTTCCTCTATTTTCTATATATCAAAACTATTTATACATAATATATACTTATAACTTTTTGTTGTATAAGTGAATGAGTTAGCATATTGGTCTGGGACTTAACGTTTACTGAATGACTTCGACGCCGCCTACGGCGGGGGTTCCTCCACCTCCGCCTCCGGCAAATGTTTGGGGGAAGAAATCTTTTGCAGACGTAGTTGCAAATCGTGATAGCATTGCAAATCCTGAAGTTCCTTTGTCCAGGAAAGAGGCAACAACATTTAAGGGTATGCCGCAAATCTCTTTTCCGGACGTTTCAATTCAGTTTTTGGCTTCTAAGCATAAATTGGCTCTCATTGGATACTTCTTTAAGCATCGTCCTGAGATGAAATCTCTAAGGAAAGCTTTTGACCTAATTGGTTTTAAAGGATCAGTACATCTAGGGCTTTTGGAAAAGAAACATGTTTTGATTCGGTTTGAAATCGAGGAAGATTACATACGCTGTTGGAACCGTCAATTTTGGGACATTTTTGGTAGCACGATGAGGGTTACCAAATGGACTCCAGATTTTAAGCCTAACGTGGAATCCCCTGTGGTTCCCGTCTGGTTAGCACTTGAGGGTTTGCCGATTCATCTTCAAGATCGAAGAGCATTGTTTGATATTGTGGGGTTAATTGGTAGACCGTTAAAACTTGATGCTGCTACAACATCTTTGGCCAGACCATCGGTAGCTAGAGTGTTTGCAGAGGTTGATGTTTCTAAAACTTTGCCTAACAAAGTGTGGATTAACTGTGGTTCCTCCGGTTTTGCTCAAAGTATTGTCTACGAAAACAGACCTCTATACTGTAACCACTGTCTACACTTAGGTCACTCTGACTCAGTATGCATTAAGAAAAAAGAAAGGCAACTAACTATTACTAATGGGGAAGCAGCTTTGGGGGATAAAACTGATACAAAACTGTCTAAAGGAGATCCAAAGTTGACTAAAAAGGATGCCAAATTTTCTTGGGTTGCTAAAGTTACTGGCTCTCAGAGAGAAGAGGGTCAAACTGTAGACAAAGGCAAAGCAAAAGTATCAGAAACGGTGTGCCTTCCTTCCTCCTCTAGATCTGCCCATTTAGATGAAGTTCATACAGTCAGTGATGACACAGACACGGAGGAGGTTTATCATGAGCCTTGGATCCCTGTAACAGATAATAATGCAGGAATCAGTATAGTCCAGAATTTGCAGATTCAAGAAGTTCAAATGAATGACAATCACGCATCACCAAACAATTCAAAACAACCTACTTTGCAACAAACTCTACTGGCTGAGCTTCCAGGTCTTAAAAATTCAAATTTAACAGATATCAGTAAGGCTCAGGATGACTTACATATTCAGTGTATGGTTCAACACCAAGACTTCGATCCAGAGAAAGCTTCCAAAGAGTATGCATCTGATTCAGACATTCCCGAGTCAACTATTGCTAAGCAACATGGGTTAGAGATACTGCCAGATATTAGTAAGAAGGTTGATAAACTTAAGGCTAGACGCCAGATGAATGATTCTGAACTTTTGGAGGCTCTTATGGTGAATAAGGAGACCTCATCAATCAATGAACTTGAAGCGGAGAATAAAGGATTTATTACTGTTGGGAAAAAGAGGGGAAGGAAGCCAAAAGGTTTTCCCAGAGAGCAGGTGATTAGTGCAATTCAGACCAGGAATGCAGCAAAAAAGCTGCCTCAAGCTTCTCCTTCTCTTTTTTAATGAATTGTCTGATTTGGAATACTAGGGGCCTAGCTAAATCTAGTTCTAGGCTCCAAAGTCTCATCTCTAAGTGGAAGATTCATTTACTTATTACCATTGAGCCGTTGGTTGATTGTAAAAAGGCTCACTCTTTTAAACTTGATTTAGGCTTTAATGAGGTTATTTATTCCCAGACAACTAAGATTTGGGTTTTTTGGGATTCTAATTTCATTAATGTTTCTGAAGTCAATTGGAACCCTCAATTTGTTCATTTTAAAGTATCTTGTGGTGAGACCAAAGGGTGGGTTACTGGAGTTTATGGAAAACATACTGTTGTGGAAAGAAGAGATCTTTGGTCAGCATTAGTTCAGTTTTCTACTCATATCAAAGACCCCTGGATGCTTGGCGGGGATTTTAATGCTTTTGTTGATCATGATGAACATCAGGGTGACTCTATACCAGACTTAAACAGTATGCTAGATTTCAAAAATTGTATTGCCGATTGTGGTCTTATTGATTTGCCTTTTTCTGGGAATAAATTTACTTGGACAGGGGTCAGGTCTAATGGTAGAATTTGGAGAAGACTTGACAGAGTATTGTTTAATGAGGCTATGCTTGATGCTTTTGATGACATAAAGGTGAATCACCTGCATAAAGCACCTTCAGACCATTCACCTCTATTGATTCAACTTAACAATATTGTTCAGCAAGGGCCTAAATCTTTCAAATTTCAAAACATGTGGCTTGCGCATCACTCTTTTCTAGAAACTGTTGCCAAGAATTGGAATGGTGGATCCACAGGAGGTATGAGGGGACTGGTTACTAAACTTCAAACCCTAAAGAAAGCTCTTAGGACTTGGAATAAAGAGGTCTTTGGGAATATTTTTGATGATATTAGAAAGGCTGAGGAGGAAGTTCAGAAAGCTGAGATGGCCTATCAACAACAATCATCTGAGGCTAATAGAGAAGACTGGAGTTACAAAAAATCTTTACTTCTTTCTAAATATAACATGGAAAGAAAATTTTGGAAACAAAAGGCTCATATTGCATGGCTAAAAGATGGGGACTCAAATTCTCATTATTTTCATTCCTTAGTCAAGATCAGAAGAAGGAAGCAACATATATCATCAATTTTGGATTCTGATGGTAAAGAGTGCCTAACTTTACCTGATATCGGTAATGCAGCTGTTCATTTCTTCTCAAGACTTTATGCTGTTGAGTCTGAAGTGGATACAGATCATTTTCTTCAAACTATTCCTGCAGTTATAAATGAAGATGATAACAGATTCTTAAATAAGCTACCAACTGAAACTGAGGTTAAGGATGCAGTGTGGGATCTCAACCAAAATGGTGCTCCGGGGCCTGATGGTTTCTCAGGTAAATTTTTTAAGAAATGTTGGTCTATTGTGGGTAAAGATGTGGTCAATGCTGTTCAGGAATTCTTTATTGGTGTTCCTCCTCCCAAAGGAATATCTAGTTCTTTTGTGGTTCTCATCCCAAAGATAGATAATCCTATTACTTTTTCCGATTTTAGACCTATTTGTTTGTCCAACTTTGTCAACAAAGTCTGTACAAAGGTTCTTGCCACCAGACTAAACAAAATTTTGCCTAAGATAATATCTGAGGAGCAGGCAGGTTTTATGCAGAATAGAGATATTGCAGATCAAGTTTTGATTGCCCAAGAGATGATTCATGCTATTGATAAGAAAGTTAGAGGGTCCAATGTGGTTGTTAAATTGGATATGGCTAAAGCATTTGATAAACTTTCTTGGAAATACTTGTTTGAGATTCTTCTCAAATTTGGCTTTGATAACCAATTTGTGAATCTGATTAGAGCTAATCTTCAGGCTACTTATCTTTCTATTATTATCAATGGAGTCCCACAAGGTTTCTTTCAACCTAAACGAGGAGTTAAACAGGGAGACCCACTTTCTCCTTTCCTGTTCATTATTGCTTCTGAGGGTTTCTCTAGAGGTCTTAAGATTAAGGTAGCTGAAGGTAAGATTAAACCATATTGGATGGGAAACATTGGTTATCCAATAACCCATCTTGGATTTGCTGATGACTTACTTATTTTTCTGAATGGTGGTTCCAGATCTTTAATAAATTTTAATAATTTCATTAAAGATTATCAAACAGCTTCTGGGCAAACTGTTAACTTACAGAAAAGCTCCTTTATTATTAGCAAAAATGCTGCTTCTAGAGCTACATTGATTGAGGATTTGCTGGATATGAAAAGATCTGACTTTCCTATGAAGTATTTAGGGGTTTACCTGCATAAGGGCATAAATAGAGCTCAATATTGTTTAAATATAATTAAACAGTTTGATGAGAAGCTTACACCTTGGAAGCAGAAGCATTTATCACAAGGAGGAAGGTTAATTTTGATTAAGCATGTCCTTAGCTCAATTCCTCTACACATTCTGGCAGTGGACACTCTTCCAAAGCAAGTTATTACTATTCTGGAGAAGAAAATGGCATCCTTTCTGTGGGGATCTACAAATGATAACCATAGATTTCATTGGGTCAAATGGTCAAAGCTTTGCTACCCCACGGAAGAAGGTGGTTGGGGAATTAGATCTCTCATAGATTTGGAGAAAGCTTATACTTTGAAGCTATGGTGGAAATGGATGACACATAATTCTCTTTGGTCTACATTTTTTAAGGCAAGATACCCCAGGTCTACAATGCAACCTAAAATCACAGATTCTCCTATTTGGAGAAGGATCTGTAGCATAGATGAACTGGTCAGGGAGCTTTGTCACTTTAATGATGAAGGTAGGCTAGTATGGGATCCTGGAAAAGAGGGTATTTTCACCCTTTCTTCTGCCTATCATGAAGTCAGAGAGGTTTCTTCTCCTACTTTCACATACAAACATCTTTGGCATAAAAGTCAGCCCATGAAAATTAAGATTTTCACTTGGAAATTGCTCCATAATTGTTTGCCTATTACTGATACCTTGTTAAGATTTCAGACTGTCTTAAGGCCATCTATGTGTCCCTTGTGTAAAAATTACTATGATACTCCTAATCACCTGTTCTATCAGTGTTCATTTACACAGGGCATATGGAGGTACTTTATGGGAATATTTCAGATTCCTACTCCTAGGGCTGGTGTTTCAGTTAGGCAAATTTTTATTAATTGGTGGTTAGAGGCAGGTTCGAAGACACTGGCTGATCTCTTTAAGCACATAATGCCTGGAGTTATTAGCTGGCATGTATGGAAGGTTTATTCTTCCTATATATGGGGTTCCAGCTCAATACCACTCACAGAGCAAATTATTGAACAAATTAAACATTATACACAGATTTGGTCATCTAACATCCAGAAATACAAAAACAGGAGAATCGAAGCATTTCTCTTTGAAGAAAGTCTGATTCATTCTAATTTCCGGTTCAAAAAGTCAGGGTTGCGAATAATCAAGTGGCAGAGACCTAAAGGGGTATATAAACTTAATGTGGATGCTTCATTTATACCTGGATTTGCTGCTGGCGGAGCTATTCTTCGAGATAGGAAAGGCGAGTTAATCTGGGCGATAAACTTCAGAATTCAGGCGGAAAGCAGTGAGGAAGCTGAATTGCGTGCTATTGTAAAAGCTTCTTGCTGGGCGATTGAGAGTGGATTTGCTGATTTTCAGGTGGAAAGTGATGCATCTTCATCCTTGTTGAGATTATCTGCGAATGAAGGTTCAGGGAAATGGGGTTGCCTTATTCGTTCGTTTGTGGAGAACGTTGTCCGTAAAGGGATTAATTTCGGACATACCTTGCGTGAGGGTAATTGGACGGCCCATGCTCTAGCGGATCGGGATTATGTCGCTGGCTCATTTAATATTTTTAAAACGGTGGATACACTTCCGGGCTTAGCTCGGAAATACTATTTGGCAGATCTTCTTGGCTATCCATATTTTAGACTTTAATCTCTTTTTCTTTTCCTAATGAGTCAGGCCTAGCCCCCTCATTAGAATTTATGTCTTTTTTATTCTTGAAATTTCCTTATTGGAGAGGTATTGGCATGGACCCCCTCTTCTGTATCCTTTTTCTATTTTTTAATAAAATCCGGTAAATGTTCCCCGGCATTTACCCCACTGATTTAGGTGGTTTGCCTACCGGGTTAAAAAAAAAAAAAAAAAAAAAAAAAAAAAAAAAAAAAACTTTTTGTTGTTGCCAGCGCCGAGGCCCCCTCCAGGCCCTCCCTGTCTCCACCCCTGATGATCATCAGCTTGGATTTTGAAAATATGTTTCAAGAAGGATGATTTTATACATGATGATAAGTATGAACATTTTCGGTTTAATTTCCACTTCAAATGCATTCACTTTTTTAAGTATTCAAATTCATATAAGGGTTCTGTGATTAGAGAGAGAAAGTCTCAATAGGCCGGGAAAGGTCTATGAAAAGTGGCGGTCGTTTCCTAGGGTTCTTTAGAGTCTAGTTTTCTGGTGGGGTTTAATACTTGTGGTCGGCAGTTTGATTAGCTATTGGGTTTCGCAAATGATGATGCCGAAACAGGGCATGTAGCGAGCTCGCGGGCAGACTTTGGTGATTTCAGTGGTGAAGAGGAAGGTTTGGAGCTAGAAGATGCGGTTAGGGATGACAACGGAGTGGTTCGGGGTCGGGTATACCATTACCCGTACCCGTCCCGTTTGATAAAAAATTTCCCCGAAACCGCCCCGTTACCCGTCGGGTATTTTTTACCCGCGGGTAACGGTTTTCCCCGCGGGTAACGGTTTCCCCGCGGGTACCCGTTTTATTAAAAAATAATTTTTTTTCTTCAAAATTAGTATAAATCCTAAAATGATTATTAACTACTTATCATTGACCACCTTAATTAAAAAAAAATCAAAATTAAATAGTACCACAGATAAAGTCTTTTGAAACATCACAAAAAGTTACAATTGCTTGAAGCCTTGAACCTAATATTTACAAATTATATTTGTCTAGATTCAAAATTATGAATCTCTTACCACGTCAACATCAAAAGATTAAGTCTTATCTCGATAGTAAAATCTAAATATGAATCACAAAAATGTTTAACTTCCACAAAAATTTAATAATCATACCCCACCAACATTCAACATCTAAATTTAAGAACAGTAATGTATACAAGTAACATAATGAAAATGTGAAGTTTTTTTCCTAATATATAACTAATAAAAAATATATGGACATAAATGTGACTATAAGTTATCATGAGTAAGTTTTTATAATCACTACGATATAACATTTGTAGTACTTTGGGATGATGGGTTATTTTGTGTATTTGAATGTGACGTGTCGCTGGGAGCCTGGAACGGACTATAAATGTCGTCCAAACTCTTACATTTGCTCAACTCCTTCAAAAAGAAAGGGAAAAGGGTCAAATAGGATCTCGAACTTACCTAAAAAGGTCAAATAAGTCCTTTTATAGGAGGCTCTGTCTAGCCGTCGCCATTTGGGGCGGTTCCCAGTGGAATTTTTTGATGAAATTTTTGACCATCTTATTCATTAAGTGTAGTTTACTCGTACCAAATTTCATCTAAAACTTCAATTGAGCTAGAAGACATTCAAATGAATTCTTGAAAATAACTGCGCAATTAAAAGCGCAGTTATCTTCAAGAATTCATTTGAATGCCTTCCCGATTGAATTGTTAGCTGCAATTTGGTATGAGTAAACTACACTTAATGAATAAGATGCTCAAAAAATTTCCTCAAAAAATTCCACCGGGAACAGCCCTAAACGGCCACGGCCGGACATAGCCTCCTATATAAGAGTTTATTTGACCTTTTTATGTAAGTTCGAGGGTCTATTTGACCCTTTTCCCAAAAAGAAACAACACGACAATTAAAAGTGTTAAAAATCGGATAAACCAAAATCCCATCCTACTCCCCGAAAAGGCCCAGCAAAGAGACCCCCATTTATCCACTGAAGTGGTGATCCAAGTAACTTATACTCCCTAGCAAAAAACAACATATTCATGGACCCGGGTCGGTTATGTCCTGGTTCCAAGTCGAGACTGCCTCATCCTTTCCAACTTTTCAGTAAAGATTAGGTCCGACCCTATCATTTCCAGTTCCAGGCCGATTCCGCTTACACGATTAGTCCCTATTAATAATTCTTTTTTGTTTTGCCCGATTACAAGGGTTAGAGTTTAGATCTTTTTAAAATACTGAATAGGATGGATCTGATTCCAACAGTTCCAAGGATGAAACCAAAAAAAGGAAAAAAAAATGGCCCGCCTGGACCAAGACCGGGATTAGAACCACCAGTTCGATCCAAAAATAAGTAAACCGTGACTGGGTACCCATCATGGTCGGACAGAGTCCGTCCTAGGTCGGAACTCGAAAACGGGGAAAAACAGATATGATCTGATCCCTAACAGTATCAGACCCGGTTCCGGACCAGCTCCATGCCGACTCGGCAAATTATACCGTACAGACGGCTGTACGGTGAGCACCATACAGCCGGCATTTTTGTAATTAAATTCGTGCTCTGCAATTCATCGACGAAGGGAAAGATGGATGGAATCTGAAGCAGACGACCAAAAGCCGCCATCTGCAACTCATCGCCAGAGAAGAACGACCAGGCTGCGCAACTCATATGCAACTCAAACACCTCTCATCGTCAGTCTTCTTCTCGGAACTCTCTTCCCCTGCCTTCACCTAACCCTTCAGCCCTGAATCGAGATGAATCGATGCAGATTCATCCACACTGGTCCAGATGAACCGTCTCCTTCTCGGAACTCTCTTCCCATGCCTTCCCCTAACACTTCATCCCTGAATCTAGATGAATCGATGCAGATTCATTCAGAATGGTCCTTGACAACTTCAGCAAGAACTTGGTCCGTTTCAAATAATCTGAATTTGAAGTATTTTGTAGATTTGTAGAATCAAATTGTTGACCGAATTCACTAACAATACATATATATGTAGTATTTGAAGTTACGTAGATGAATTTGTCAAGCAAATTTGCAGATTCATTTGCAAATTTGTAGCCTGAGGTTTACCGTTTCGTATTCTGTAGGGGTGCGCCACTCACCTAATAAGATTTTACAAAAGAAAAAGAAATGAGCATACATAAGAGTATATTGAGTAGTGTACATATTTCAAATGAGCTTTTAAATTTTTGGATGTTCATTTTGTAGGATTTGTATGCTCATTTTGTATTATGAGCATAAATTATGATACTCATTTGTATTCTTTTAATATTTAATAGAAGAGTTATACTCATTATGTAATTAACAAAACTTATGATTTTCATATCATTTGGTAAGTTATATATGTTCATTTGCTACTGATGTTATGCTCATATTAAAATGTTATCTCAATGCATATTTCAAAAGTAACATATTGCATTAGATTCAAGTAGAAGTTAATTACAGACACTACAACACAGAGCATGATATTCAATTGCATGTCCTTAATACTTAATTGAGGAAATTTGATGCTCAATGAAAACGTCTTGATGCTCGATCAACAAAAATAACTTATGCTTGTCATACTAATGATCAGTTTATAATTTATGAATGCTCAATCGACAATCAATTGCACGCTTTTAATACTCAGTAGAGGAGGTATAATGCTCAATGAAAAATGTCTTGATGCTCAACTAACAAACCTTATTATTTTCATATTAATACTTATTTTGTAAGCTACATATGCTCAATCGATACTGATGTTAGACTCATTTTTAAAATGTCATATCAATGCATATTTCAAAAGTATCATATTACATTAGATTCAAATATTTAACTTTATAGGGATTGATTGAAGATATAATTTAATACGTTGCGATAAAAGAAAAAATGTAAAAAGAAGGTGAATTAAAAGAAACTTCCTCCGTTCTTAAATAAGTGCAACAGTCAATATTTCACATTTGACGAGACACAACTTTGACCATCAATATATATAATTCTGTATTAGTAAAAAATTAAAAAAAATCAGTTTTTGAAAATTTACAATGAAACAAATTTAATAATATATTTTTCAAAAAAAAAATACATTAATACATCAATAAATAAAATGTAGTCAAAGTAGAACATGTGAATAGTGCAAAATTTCACATGTTGCACTTATATTAAGAACGGAGGTAGTATGAAGCAGAGATTGTGATGCTCAATATTAGACTCCTAATACTCAAAAGAATAGGTCTACTGCTAATTAAAAGTTCAAGAATGATCATTTATCAGAAAGCGTTATTTTCATCTCAATATAGGAGGTTTGATGTTCAATGAAAGTGTCGTGACGTCCAACTAACAAAGTTCCGTATGCTCATTTGATACTAATATTATGCTCATTTTTAAAATGACATATCAATGCATATATCAAAAGTACCATATTACATTGAATTTCCATATTGAAGTTTATAGAAGTTCATTATAAAACAAAAAATAAGAAAAAGAAAGTGAATTACAAGATATGAAGGAAAGATCATGATGTTCATTACTAGACTCTTAATACTCAATAGAATACGTTTGATGCTCATTAAAAGTGTAATAATGCTCATCTAACAAAAACCATTACTTTCACTGAAATTACAAAAATGCCACCGTTTTTTTGGTTGTGATATCAACTTTCTTGTAATAAAATCGTGCTCATTATTAGACTTTCAATACTCATTACAATTGGACAACTGCTAATTAACAATACACCAATGCTCATTTAGCAGAAGCCAGGAATTTCATTTAAATTACTAAAATGCCACCGGTATAGGGACCCTGCCGAATCCACATGATGATTTTGAAAGAAAATCATACATTAATTCAGAGTAAAAATATGTGAAATTTTAAAATAAAACTATGTCGATTTTCTTCAAAATAAGAGTAAATGTTAACATGTTTAAAAGAATTGTTTACTATCTCATAAATACTGCAATAGTAAATATTTGATAATACCGAATTACGCAAGTATGATTGCAAGATGTCAGTATTTAGCCAATTAATTATGAATGATTTGTGACACGAGTATTTCTGATTTCGTCTGTCCTTTATAATTTGTAATTCTTATTAACTCTCTCCTATGTCAAAATTTTACCGCAAGTTGTTACATAATTATATCAAATCTTGACAAAGTTATAAGGGACACGTGAAATATTATTTTTATGTTTCTCTTAAAAACATAATCTAAAACTTGAAAAAAAAACTATAAAAGAGCAATGAATTGCGGTGATATAATGAATTATTCATCTTTTATTAT